TACATATACCAATCCCTGGCTGTCTCACTTGATTTTATCTTAATTTCTTTCGCTCTGTGTGAAAGTCATTCAGTCAGCTCACTGCCTTAAAATTTTTTATTTTTTTTATTTTTTATTTTATTTTATTGGTTTTTTTCGAGACAGGGTTTCTCTGTGTAGCCCTGGCTGTCCTGAAACTCACTCTGTAGACCAGGCTGGCCTCGAACTCAGAAATCCACCTGCCTCTGCCTCCCAAGTGCTGGGATTAAAGGCGTGCGCCACCACCGCCCGACCCTTAAAATATTTTAAAACACAATTTGTAAATTTCTGTCTTTTTGAAAAGATTTTTTTTTAAAGATGTGTGTTTAATCTGTGTGAGTCACGTGACCTGACTGCTGGGACCTGAATTTGAATTTTCTGCAATAGCATAGCAACGCTCTGAACTATGAGCCAGCTCCCCAGCCCTATGTACACGTGAGATGTATGGTCTTACACATACTATGCCCTCTTCCTGCCATGCTAGTCACCTTATTTAAGATAAAGGCTAGCTTCATTCTAGATACTTGGCAAACATCACTCACGCAGTAACAAATTTTAAGAACCTGTTAACACCGAGAACCACAGATTTCGTTCTGGGCCCTTCCTCCTTTATTTATCTTGGCAGCTTTGGTAATCTCATCTTGTCTCAGGGCTTAAAACACTCTCTGTGCATCTAAACCTTTTCTTACCCTCCTTGGATACAGGGTCTTACTGTGTAGACCATGTAGGCCTTGAATTCACGAAATACCACCTGCCTCTGTCTCCTGAGTGCTGGCGTTAAAGGTGTACGTCACCCCACCCAGCTAGCTCTCATCCCTGAACGTGACTTTCATCGCTAACTGCTGACTGAACATGTTCATGTGGTTACAGACTAGCTATCTCAGATGCAAACCGTTGTCTTACACCTGAGTGAAATTCCAGAGTGGGAGGTGACGTGCTTTGATGCTCACCTGAGTAGGCTCTCTCTCACCGTGTGTAGTGTGGCTACAGTCTCCTAACGTGGCTCCCTGCTTCCGTTCTCTCGGCTTTTAATCTGCTTCATCCCGTCTGACAGTGTTAGGCTTCTTAAACTTGGACTTCTCCTGCCATCTACCATGCCCGGCTGCCTGCAACATTTTCATCACGGTTGGTTGGCTCTACGTGTGGAGAGGCTACGTACATTGTCATCATTTGTTAGGGGACAAATGAATTGTGAATTTGGGATTTAAGCCTTTTTTAAAAATGCAGCGCTGGCAATCAAACCCAGGGCCTTGGGCACGGGAGGCAAGCGCTCTAGCCATGGAGCTGCCTGCAGCCGACCCTGTGGTTAGGTTTTGTTGATCATATAGGCCAGCGAGAGGGTGAGGGCCAGAGGGACTGCACTTGCAGAGGTTTCCAGTCCCCATCAGGCAGCTTCCGATGGCCAGTACTCCAGCTCCAGGGGATTTCTGCCGCCCCCTTCTGGCCTCCACAGGTACCTGAACTCATGACCGCACTCAGGCGCACAGACACAATTAAAAATAAATCTTCAAAAAGGAATGGAAAAGTATGTGTGACTTATTGTTGTTGTTGTTGTCGTCGTCGTTGTTGTTGTTATTTTGGGTTTTTCACATAAAGAAACCTGGAGTGCAACTGAATCGTAGCTCAGCTCCAGATCTTTAAGAACTCTGCCCTGCCCCCTGGAGGCAGAAACAAAATTAGGACTGACGCTTCCATTTCTGTACACAAAAGCGATTGGCTCTGTCCAGTCTGTGCACAATTTTCAGAGCTGTGCCAAGTAACAGTGGGCCATTCCCTTCCCCTTGAGCATCTTAAAATGTTCATTCATTCATTCATTCATTCATTCATTCAAATTGTCCACTGAGTATCTGAATGCCTCATGAGCGCCTGTACTGTTGTACCACTGGGGACGGATCTGCCTAGAGAGTGCACGAAACCCTGAGTCTGAACCCAAGGACCTCATAAACTAGGGCTGAGAGTGCACACTTGTAATCCTAGCACTTGAGAGGCAAGAACTCCAGGTCATCAGGGATGGAGAGAATGTGGGGCCATCCTGGGATACATGAAACCCTGTTTCAAAAAATAAAATAAAATACATGGCTGAGGATATAGTCACTGATAGAGCCCTTGCTTAGCACGTGCAAAGGCCTGGGCTCAAACCTCGGCATGCCCACTTCTGGTTTGAGACTGGAGAGATAGCTCAGTGGTTAAGAGCATTTACTGGACTTGCAGAGGACTGCTGTTTAGTTCTCGGCACCCGTGTGATGGCTCACAACCATCTGGGACTCTAGTTCTAGGATATCGAACATTTTCTGGCCTCTGAGGGTTCTACATGCACATGGTGTGCAGACATGCATGCAGGCAAAACATTCCCACACATAAAGCATACATACATACATACATACATACATACATACATACATACAGCAAGAATAGCTAGGCCAGTAGGGAATTGAGGCAGGAGCACTGTTCAGAATGAGCTGAGGAATACAGAGGCCCTGAGAGGGAACATGGCTGATGCTTCTGGGGATGCGGTATCAGAGAGCACCCTCGTATTCCTAGTTGGATAGAAGAATGGTTGTTGAAGCTGATGCTTGAGGAGTGAAGTATTCTGTGCCTGGTGCTGAGTAGATGGGTGAACGTGGTGTGTGTGGGGGAGTTATTTCCTTTTCTTTCTTTCACTTCAGGAGCTGGTGACCTTCAGAGATGTGGCAATAGACTTCTCCCAAGAGGAATGGGATTGCCTGAGTTCTTCCCAAAGGCATTTGTACAGTCGTGTCATGTTGGAGAACTATAGAATCTTGGTGTCTCTGGGTGAGTGTGCTGGCTAGTTTTATGTCAACTTGACACAAGCTAAAGTCATCTGAGACACTGGGAACTTCAAGTAAGAATAAGAATAGGCAGTAGGCAAACATGTAGGATATTTTCTTAATTAGTGACTGATGGGGGAGGGCCCAGCCCATTATGGGTGGTGCTATCCCTGGGCTGATGGTCCTGGGTCCTGTAAGAAAGCAGGCTAAGGAAGCCACGGGGAGCAAGCCAGTAAGCAGCACTCCTCCATGGTCTCTGCATCAGCTCCTGCCTCCAGGTTCTCACCCTGTTTGAGCTCCTGTCCTGACTTCTTTCAGGATGGACTACAACGTGGAAGCATGAGCCAGATAAACTTTTTTCTCCCAGTCTTAGCTAGTGTCCTATCGCTGTGAAGAGACACCATGACCACAGTAACACTTACGAAGGAAAGCATTTAACTGGCTTACAGTTTCAGAGGTTCAGTCCATTGACATCATGGTAGCACACAGGCAGACATGGTGCTGGAGGAGTTGAGAGTCCTACATCTAGATCCACAGGCAGCAGGAAGAGAGAGATACTGGGCCTGGCTTGAGCTGCTGAAACCCCAAAGCCCATCCCCAGGGACACACTTCCTCCCATAAGGCCGCACTTCCTAATCCCTGTCAAGTAGCGCCACTCCCAGATGAACAAGCACTCACACATATGAGCCTCTGCGGCCATTCTTCCATCTACTACACTTCCCAAGGTGCTTTGGTCATGGTGCTTCATCACAGCAATAGTACCCCTAAGTAAGACAGTAAGGATATCTTCCCCTTGTAAAATGGGACTTTTATTCATGAGGGACTTTGTGACGGTCACTGTGAATATTTTGGTAGCATTGGCATAGTTTGGGTGAGTGTGTGCCATAGTGCAAAATCATGGAGAGGGGGTAGATAGGCCTATCATTGGCCAGTCCCTAGGAGTCAGGAGCCAGATCTCTATACGACACGTGTCCTGCTTTTTTAGCAAGCACCTTAACTTGTAGTCCATCTCACCAGCCCTTTTTATGTTTTTTTTGTTTGTCTGTTTGTTTGGTTTTTTGGTTTTTTTGAGACAGGGTTTCTCTGTGTAGCCCTGGCTGTCCTGGAACTCACTCTGTAGACCAGGCTGGCCTCGAGTTCAGAAATCTGCCTGCCTCTGCCTCCCAAGTGTTGGTATTAAAGGTGTGCAACACCACTGTCTGGCAGAGCAGCCAGTGTTCTTAACTGCTGAGCCATCTCTCCAGCCCTACCTTTTTTGAGACAGGATGTCTCATTGAACTTGGACCTCACTGATTCCTAGGCTGGCTGGCAAGTGAGCTCCAAGGGTCTGTCTGTCTCTGTCTCTCATGACTGTGATTACAGGTGTGCACCCCCATGCTTTTTACATGGGTACCTTTCTGACTAAGCCATTTCTTCTGCCCCAGATATTCTTTTATTACTAATTGTTTTTCATATAATATACTTTATGTTTTCCCTCCCTCAGTTCTTACCAAACTCTCCCATCTTCAATACCCAATCGACTTTATACTTTATCTCTTTTCAAAAAAAAAAAAATCTTTTTTTTTTTTTTTTTTTGTTTTTTGAGACAGGGTTTCTCTGTGTAGCCCTGGCTGTCCTGGAACTCACTCTGTAGACCAGGCTGGCCTCGAACTCAGAAATCCGCCTGCCTCTGCCTCCCAAGTGCTGGGATTAAAGGCGTGCACCACCACCGCCCGGCTCAAAAAAAAAAATCAAGAAACTAAGAACAACAACAACAAGAGTCACAAAAGCAAAATCAAAACAAGCAAAAGATCGGTGAGATGGGCTGGAGAGATGGCTCAGCGGTTAAGAGCTCTGCGTGCTCTTCCAGAGGTCCTGAGTTCAATTCCCAGCACCCACATGGTGGCTCACAACCATCTGTAATGGGATCTGATGCCTTCTTCCGATGTGTCTGAAGACAGCTACCGTGTACTCACATACATTAAATAAATAAATAAATAAATAAATAAATCTTAAAAAAATCAATAAGACAAAAAAAAAAGGCAAAAAGAAACAAAACTACATTTTGTAGTAAAAATTGCATTATTTTGTGTTGGCCAACTACCCCTGGGTATGGGGCCTGCCCTGAAGTGTGGTTGATACCAGACGCCCCCAGCGTAACTAAGTCATTTCTTTTCTCATTTACAGGCCTTTGCCTTTCTAAGCCAAGTGTAATATTCCTGTTGGAACAAGGGAAAGAGCCATGGATGGTGAAGACAGAGCTGATGGACAGTTTGTCCACAGGTGAGTGCAGAGGAAATAGACAGGCAGCAACCTCTGATGTGACCAGTCAACCCGACTCAAGAGAACGTCTCTTTGTCCTTTTGTGTGTCGTGTTCCCAGATGTCTTGGGCCTGAAAGAAATTGAGGCTCTAGGCTACCATCCTCATGGACTCCTGCTCCTTCCCTAATTCCCTTCTAGTTTTTAAATAGGCTTTTCCTGATTTGATGAACTCCAGACCCACCCAAGAGTCAATGAAGATTCAAATCCTGATTCTTACACGTAGTGAAATTCCACAAAAGTTGCTTAATCTCTTGTTTTGTCATACCTAGAATAATTCTCTTGAAGTATCTTGAGCCTTGTATGGTATGAACTCAGCGGCCATTCACTCCAATTTAGTGTTGGTGGTGTGTCTACAAATGCCTCGTCTTTCTCTGTCAATCAGTCCATCCTCTTTTGTCCCTCTAATCAATACTTTGTCAGTCCATCCTCTTCTGTCCCTCTAATCAATACCAACGTTACTAAGTTGCACTTCCCACACCGCTCCTACCTGTCTCCTCACCCCAAGGTACCACATGCCTGTTACACATGTGTACAGATAACCACACAGTTGGTAGGCTAGCAGCAGAAACAGCTCCAGAAGGCATGTATGAAGAGAAAACATGCCATAAAGGAAACCCAGAGGAAAGGCAGGAGACAGAGAGTTCTGGGTAGCGGGAAGATGCTGGGTTTAATGAAAGCAAAGGTAAGCAGCTAGTGAACATTGGGGAATCAACGGGGTGAAAGCTTAGGTTTGTGGTGTGGGAAGAGTTGCAGATCGGCCTAGGAAACCCTGAGGAGAAACGAAGGACTGCTTTGTTGTTGTAAATGCCTCTCCCAACCCCATATCCCAAACTGCCTGAGCCAGGCTTATTCCACATTCAGTTTTCTGAGAGGAAATTTTCACGGGTAACTGTGGCAGTAAATGATGCTGAGTTAAACTTAGTGCAGCATTCTTGAAAGGGTCACTCACATAAATAACCGTTGCCACATATACGGAGTTTAGAAATTATTTTACGTTTGAACTGTGTGTGTTACTTTTCTATTGCTCTGAAGAGACACACGATCAAGGCAACTTAGAAATGGAAGCAACAGTTTATTGAGGCTTACAATCTCAAAGGGGAAGTCCATCACCATCTTGGCAGGGTTCAAGGCAGCAGGCAGACAGGCACCGAGGCTGGAGAAGTAACTAATAGCTTACATCTGATCCACAAACAGGCAGACAGAGAGGGAGGGGGGAGGGGAAGAGGGAGGGGGAGGGGAGGGGAGGGGGAAGGGAAGTGAGGTAACTAGAGATAGTATGGGCTTTTGAAATATTAAACTCCTCCTCTGGTGATTAGTGATATACCTCTTCAAACAAGGCCATTCCTCCTAACCTTTCCCCAATAGTTCCACCAACTGGGCATCAAATATTCAAATATGTGAGGCTGTTGGGGCAATTCTCATTCAAACCACCACAATGGGGTGTGTGTGTGTGTGTGTGTGTACACGTGCTGGAGGAGGCCAGAGATGTTGCATCCCCTGGAGGTAGGACAGTAGTAATCCTGGATACGTGGAATCAGTCGTGGACTCTCTGAAAGAACAGTAAGTGCTCTTAATCAGCTGAGCCAACCCTCATCCCATATATGAAGTTTAAATAGAACAAAACGCCATTTAGTTACTTCTTTTTTTTTTTTTTTTTTTTTTTTTTGGTTTTTTGAGACAGGGTTTCTCTGTGTAGCCCTGGCTGTCCTGGAACTCACTCTGTAGACCAGGCTGGTCTCGAACTCAGAAATCCACCTGCCTCTGCCTCCCAAGTGCTGGGATTAAAGGCGTGCGCCACCACCGCCCGGCCATTTAGTTACTTCTTAAATTAATAAACAGTGCTGGACAGAGAGAACCAAATCTAGCAAGTTGTCTTCTAATGCCCACATGTCAAGTGGCATGGTCTTGTACACTCACACATACACAACATGTCGAGTGCCATGGGCTTGTACACACACACAAAATAGATTTTAAAATGTAATAAACTTCTTAAACAAGGTAAGAGAAAATTTTATCTGTTGATCATTCTGTAGAAATACAACTTATAACAAAGCAAAATGTAAAATAAGTAAATAAATCACCAATGCTGTGTTAGGACCTTGAGGACTGCCTGTCCACTCTCTTTTTTGCAGAACTTAGTACCTGCTGCCATGCAATGACATTTCCTTGTTAATTTTTGTCTCTTCAAAGAAAATAAGGTCAATGAAGGCAGGTGATCACTGTCTCCTGATTCTAAAATCATCCATAAGAACATCGGATATAAGACAGTTATTTTTCAGTGAGTGTTCTTTGTAGCAGGATACTTATTCTGCTACATTGTATTTGCAGTGGAGCTCAGTGATTAGGCAGTAGAAGAGGAGGTGGAGCTGGGAGAGAAAGAGAGGAAGGGGAGGGGAGAAAGAGAGGAAGGGGAGGAGAAGAAGGAGGCTAGCAGCCATGGAGAACCATGGATGGGTGGAAAGCTGTCCTGGGTAGCAACTTCTATGAAAAGGTTAGCTATTGGGTAACAACTCTAATTGTGTGGGCATCTTGTTGATTGAGCATTTCTAAATATATAAATCCTTTAGATAATCATTAAGCTTTAAGAGTCTCATTTCAACCAGATACTGTGAGGAAGGCAGACATTGTCTGGGGTTCAGCCAAGCTTTGTGGGTGCAGTGTGGGGGACTGGCGGAGCCATCCCCCATGCTGGTGTCTCGGGTGCCAGGGCCTGCACATCTAGCTAGCAGGAGCCCCAGTCAGAGCGGAGGAGCAGTGGGAACACGGTGGTTGCCTGGGAACACGGTGGCTGCCCAGGAACAAGCGGGACTGGGTACCATTCTCTAAATATCCCTCCTATAGTTCTTGAATGAAATGGTTATTATTTCAGTTTTACTTACAGCCAAGTCCAGTCACAGCCAGAGTTCTTTCTCGCCTGTGACAACTCTTACTGGTTTTCTTTTTCTTTTTTTGTTTTTGGTTTTTCGAGACAGGGTTTCTCTGTGTAGCCCTGGCTGTCCTGGAACTCACTCTGTAGACCAGGCTGGCCTCGAACACAGAAATCCGCCTGCCTCTGCCTCCCATGTGCTGGGATTAAAGGCGTGCGCCACCACCGCCCGGCTCTTACTGGTTTTCATAAAGCTCTTTTTAAAAAAAAAAGATTTATTTATTTATTAATTTATTTAATGTATATGAATACACTATTGCTCTCTTCAGACACACCAGAAGAAGGCCTCAGATCCCATTACAGATGGTTATGAGCCACCATGTGGTTGCTGGGAATTGAACTCAGGACCTCTGGAAGATCAGTCAGTGCTCTTAACCACTGAGCCATCTCTCCAGCCCCTTTCATAAAGTTCTAATCATTCCCCCTGTGATCCCAGCTCTCAGTTTATTATACTCCTCAGAGCTTTGCAAGTCAGTGTTCTGTTGGGTTTTGTTTGGTGCTACGTTTACCTACTTCTATTCACAGGTACACTCTCATGACCATGTTTTCTGGATACATAATAAAGAAGGCACTTTCTATTATTACTTTTAGGCTGGGAGTCTGTATGTGAGACTGAAGAACTAATCCCAAAGCAGGAACTCTATGAAGAACAGTCATCCGGAAAGACAGTCGAAGAACTTAGAAGTCTTGGCCTGGAGTATCCCAGTTTGGTGGGAGGATGGAGCTGGGGACATCATTTCAAGAGGCAATTTGGGAATTTAAAGGCTTGTCTCAAGGAAGAGAACATCGCTTTTGGAGCTTTCATTGATAACAGGTCTTGGGGAAGTTTCCGCCAGAACACCTTACTTGGTACACGACAGGCAAGCCCAGAGGAAGAGAAGGTGTACAAAGAAGGCACACACCAGAAGAGCTGGAGCAAAAGCTTGAAGCCTCTTAAGCCCCAGAGCGTCTGCACAGAGAGGAAACTTCTGAAATGCAGCGGCTGTGAGAAGGCTTTTAGCCAGAGCTCATCCCTTACTCTTCATCAGAGAATCCACACTGGAGAGAAACCCTATGCCTGCAGAGACTGTGGGAAAGCCTTCAGCCAGAGATCCAACCTTGTCCAGCATCACAGGATCCACACCGGAGAGAAACCCTACGCGTGTAAGGAGTGTGGGAAGGCCTTCAGCCAGAACGCACATCTAGTTCAGCACCTGCGAGTTCACACCGGAGAAAAGCCTTACGGCTGTAAGGTGTGCGGGAAGGCCTTCAGCCAGTTTGCCTACCTCGCTCAGCACCAGAGAGTTCACACTGGAGAGAAGCCCTATGAATGTATCGAATGTGGGAAAGCTTTTAGCAATAGGTCATCCGTTGCTCAACACCAGAGAGTTCACACCGGAGAGAAACCTTATGAGTGCAGGGTCTGTGGGAAAGCCTTTAGCCTTCGTGCATATCTTACTGTGCATCAGAGAATTCACACAGGGGAGAGGCCCTATGAATGTAAGGAGTGTGGGAAGGCCTTCAGCCAAAACTCCCACCTCGCTCAACATCAGAGAATTCATACCGGAGAAAAACCATATAAGTGCCAGCAATGTAGGAAGGCCTTCAGCCATATGGCCTACCTCGCTCAGCATCAGCGAGTTCACACCGGGGAGAAGCCCTACGAGTGTGTTAAGTGTGGGAAGGCCTTCAGCAATGACTCATCCCTTACTCAGCACCAGAGAGTTCACACCGGGGAGAAGCCCTATGAGTGTGACGTGTGTGGGAAGGCCTTCGGTTACTGTGGCTCCCTTGTCCAACACCAGAGAATCCACACAGGAGAGAGACCCTACGAGTGTAAGGAGTGCAAGAAAACCTTCAGGCAGCACGCACATCTCGCTCACCACCAGAGAATTCACGACGTCGGGGAGTCACACTTACCACCCAATCCCAGCAACCACCAAGTCCTATAAACCCCGTCTCCTAAGTAGTCCTGGGACTTATGTTCTTTTCTCTGTCTTTAATGTTGATTACTTCTATACAGTTCTCATGGGTTTTCTAGTGTCTATTATTACTGTCTTCAAATCTATTTCCCGTAATATGCACAAAGTTATTTCACTTTGAGGTGGGATCTTGTGTTGAACAAGCTGGCCTTAGACTCACATTAACAAAAGAGAAAACCCAGTGTTGGGCCATAGAAATGACAATACCAAAATCCTGCCAGCGCTTAGCTCTCTGCCGGTACAGAAATAACAATTGAAAATACAGAGACACAATTTCATACGGTTTGAGGTCACCCCAACGGATCCAAAAGGGGAAGAAAAGTATTTAAAAATAAGAAAATCTAGCCAGTGCTTGTGGGTGTCTGGGTTGGCGCTTATTCTACATCTTTCTAACCTTTCATAGTAAAGAATAAATGGTACTTCCCTGGTGTTTGGTTTTATCAGTTGCTTCCTTGCTCCGGCCGTGTCATGGCTATCCTCACACCATTTCCTTCAGAAAAGAAGCTCACATCACCCTCCAGCGGCAACTACTGTTGACAGCTGAAACTCGGACTGTAACAGCGGCGGCAGAGCCATAGTAACAGCTGTGTTCAAGCTCCGACACTGCCCCGCCCCCACATCTCACCCCTCACTGCCCACTCCCACTGGATCCCCACGAAAAAAAGGCGGTTCTCTCTTATTTGAGCGTTCTGAGAGTTATTCAAGGTTGGCTCTGCTCTGTAATTCAGAGGCTAAAACAGAAGGGTTGCCACAAGTCTGAGGGTAGTCTGGGTCACCTAGCAGGCAAGCCAGGGCTGTATAGCAAGGTCTGGTCCTCTGCTTTAAAGGACAAAGGAGAAGGCCGTGCTGCTCATTATTCTGCTCTCTGCTTCCCCTCGGGATACCGTCTACCCAAACCTGAGACTTGTGTGATGGAGGCAGGAAGGAACGCGAGGACAGTTTTAGGAGCTGAATGTGCCACGCTCAGGCCAAGTTCACCAGCTCTGCACAATGTTCAGGATTGACGTTGCAACTGGAAGTGGGTGTTCCTGCCCGTCTCCAGCCTTTACTCTTCCTGGCTTTGTCACTCATGAACTTGATCTGCCTTAATTTTTTTTTTTTTTTTGGTTTTTTGAGACAGAGTTTCTCTGTGTAGCCCTGGCTGTCCTGGAACTCACTCTGTAAACCAGACTGGCCTCGAACTCAGAAATCCTCCTGTCTCTGCCTCCCAAGTGCTGGGATTAAAGGAGTGTGCCACCACTGCCCTGCTGCCTTGATAATTTTTAACTTATGAAGGGAAAAACCTCTTTTTGATCAATTCCACCGATGTTTCCTTCCCTATGCTTAGCCTCATGGCTAAGCAACAGTGGTTATGGGGGTGATAGGTTCCACTCTTTCTTTGTACATGGTAATGTCTTGGCTTCCGTATCCAGTCGTCTGGCTGTATGGCCCACCTATGAGATGATACACCCGGTGGCTATCCTTAATGCGTCCAGTCACTCTTTTCCTTGGGCTTAAGTTGGGTGGTTTCACTGAGTCTCATACAGTTTACAGTTAAACTATTGCTCCAGCTTGGTGTACTGGGACTGGGATTCCAGATATGGGGGTGGGTGTGGGATGGGGGGTATACCTGTAATCCTAGCCCTTTGAAAGTGGAGCATAGAGACCAAGAGGTTGAGGCCAGCCTGGATTGTACTGTATCCTGCTTAAAATGAACAAAAAGCAATGCATTAAAAAAAAAAAACCTAAAACCATATGTTGACCAACGTCACCCTCCTGGCTGTTGGTGCCACTATGTTGTTCTTGGAGAAAGGAGCGTGGCTTCCTACAATTTAAGAGTAGCTGTGTTTGGAGTTTCAGGGGCACCTACTTTTCTTGCTCTACAATAGCCAAATCCCCTGGCCTAGCAAAGGATTTGTTGTACGCCACAGATTTGAACACTCCCATCAGGTGGCCGCCAAGCGGGCACAGCCATCATGCCTTCATTTAAAAAAAAAAAAAGAAAAAAAAAAAGCACAGAATGCCCAGAATCCACTGGAAAGCTTCAGAGTGCTGGCTGACAACCTCAAAGTCGCGACTGAGTCTGCGCACAGACCCTTGCGATGGGAAGAACTTACACCAGACCGGAAGCTGAGCCGCAAGCCGATTGATTTGGGCTTAAAGAGCCCAATCCAGGGTAAATAGGAATGTTTAGTGGATGGAAGCAGTCCAGCCTTAGGACCTGTATTGAATCCTGACCTGGGACTATGGTGGCCCACCTGGGTCAGTTATGGGGACACAAAATGCCAGTGTCGGGGAGAGCAACAGTTGTGTACCTGGGGGTCTTATCTGGGTGCAGGGTCCATTTTGACGGGCATGATTTGTATGGATTAGAGGCAGATGCTCTGTAAATTGTGAGTATGTGGGTAGAAGAGGCATTTTTCAGTTCCACTTGCAGAATAAATAAGAAATGAGACTTCTATAAAGTTTAAAGCTTTAGACCTTTTGGCAGGGGCAGTCTTTCATCTAGCTTCTAATTTAACCTGACTTCTCAGCTCTTTACCTCTCTGTTTCAGTCTGGTCTCTCTTCTGTTCCCTCTGCTTACTGCCCTTCCTGTCTCTCTGCCTGCCCGGAGGTTCTGACCCTTATTTCCTGCCACCTCTACCTTTATTATAACCAATTAGCAGTAAGACAACACCTGGGCCATCTCTTCGGTTGCCTAAGGCATTGAGAGCTGTGTGACCTTCATGTTTTGGGCAGGTGTGGAAGGACAAGCATTTACAAATAGAAAGCCCGGTGATGGGCATAGAAATGCCAGTACCCCAATCCTGCCAGCCCAGGGTCCGTTTCCAGCGCTCACATGGTGGCTCACAACCATCTGTAGCTCCAGCTCCTGGAGGGGTGTGTCTGACGCCCTCTTCTGGCCTCTGTGAGCAGCATACATACATAGGCAAAATGTTCATGTACAGCAAGTAAGTCTTGAATGTTGAATTAATAGTCATGAAGATGGTTAAAGCAAGGAAGTGATAGACAGGGCCACACACAGAGAACCCTGTCTCAAACAACAATCCCCTCCCCCACAGAAAAGACTGCGACAAGATTACAAAGGATCCTAACCCTTCTCCTAATGAAAGTGTACAATATTTTTAAAATCATCATCATCTCTTTTGAGATATCATTATATAGCCCTGGATGGCCTAGAACTTGCTATGTAAATCAGGCTAGTCTCAAAAGGCATATACCACATGCCTAAACAAATATTCTTTTTTTAATTTCTTTTCGGTTTTTTGAGACAGGGTTTCTCTGTGTAGCCCTGGCTGTCCTGGAATTCACTCTGTAGACCAGGCTCGCTTCGAACTCAGAAATCCTCCTGCCTCTGCCTCCCAAGTGCTGGGATTAAAGGCGTGTGCCACTACTGCTTGGCTTGGTTTTTTTTTTTTTTTTTTGGTTCAAATATTCTTTTTTAAAGAACATACGTATAGACAAGTATTATTACCTTTTTTGTCGGTGGTTAGGTTTTTTACTTCTGGAGTTATTAGATGTTCTTTAGTTTTAATTGATTTGCAGACAGAGTCTTATTTGGGTTTCTTATTTGAGCCAAGATCTAGCTCTCGCTGCCCTGATTCTTGCTACATAGCTCAGACATGGATCTCACGGCAATCCTCCAGCCTTGACCTCCTGAGTCTTAGAATTATAGGCATTGGCCCAAGTGTGCTTATATTTCTTTTTTCTTGCTGTTCTTTGTTCTGACAGTGCTTCACTCCGCGTAGCCTTGGGTGATCTGATCTCACAGAGAACCACCTGCCTCCGCCTCCCAAGGGCTGGGATTGAAGACTTGCTTTACCACACCCTGCTCAAACCTGTACATCTTAAATACACAAGTTGTGTTCACTTTGCAAGCAAGCACGGGTACAGAGGTTAGCGTGGCCCGTCCACAAACACAGCATGAAAATTCATAAAGCAGTTCATATTTTTAAGGCTGAGCCCATTAATATTTTATCATGGAAAGAAAGGGACCCCTAAGGCCCCAACCCTCCCCGAGAGACTCTTTCTTCATTGGCAATTAACAGTCGTTGAAGAAGACGGAGCATAATGGCTGTCCCTGGTTGTCAACTTGCCTCTATCTGGAATGAACTCCAATCAAGAACTGGAAGGCTCACCTGTGATCCAGATCGTCAGGCTGGAAGATGTAAATTTCTCACCTGGATCTTGGCATGGAGATCTTGAGGCACAGAGGCCATGAAAAGCTTAGGCCCAGGCAAGGTAGTACATGCCTTTAACCCCAGGAGATTAAGGCAAGGAGATTTCTGAGTTCAAAGTCAGCCTGGGATAAATCAAGTCCCATATCCAGGCGTGATGGTTCACACCTTTAATCTGGGCCGCACCTTCTTCTGCACACCTACAGAAGGACACTGGAAGAAGAAAGATACTCTCTTCTTTGCCTGATTGCATTTCCTTGCCAGCACATCTGTTGGAACCTTCTACAGTAGACCAGCTGAAACAACTAACCTCGTGGGACTGAGACTCTTGGCCTTCCCATTCACATCTGACCATTGTTGGGTTAGTTGGACTACAGACTGTAATTCCCTCAGTACAGAGAGACATTCCATAAGTTCTGTGACTCTAGAGAACCCCGATTAATCCAGGGAGTGGTCTTCTTCAGTGGTGCAGCCACATAGCTTCAATTCTCTCCAGTCCGCTTAGACTTACATTATTCCACTTGCTATAGGGTTGCAAGAACTCACTCACAAGATGGGTACATACTGTTACTCTGTCAGCTGCTTGGTTTGCAGTGTACTAAACTTTTTTTCTTAAAACAACAACAACAGGGGGCTGGTGAGATGGCTCGGCGGTTAAGAGCACTGGCTGCTCTTCCAGAGGTCCTGGGTTCAGTTCCCAGCAACCACATGGTGGCTCACAACCATCTGTAATGGGACCCGATGCCCTCTTCTGGTGTGTCTGAAGACAGCTACAGTGTACTCACATACATGAAATAAAATCTTTAAACAACAACAACAACAACAACAACCCCTCATCGCGGCCTTCCAGAACAGCATTGGTCCACCTCATGGGACATTACTCAGTCATGTAATGGCTTACAGTCTCTATATACTTACTCTCCTGCTGTTACTGAATAACTTGTGACCTTTAAAATCGCAGTTTTGGGGGGTCTGGAGAAATGGCTTTAGAGCTAAGAGCATATACTATGTTTGCAGAGGACCCAAGTTTTGTTCTTGGTACGTGTGCTGGATAGTTCAAAGCTGCCTGCAACTCCAACTCCCGAGGAATCTGATGCCCCTTGGTTCCTTGGGCATGGACACTCAAGTACACATACCCACATGAGACACAGATACATAATTACAAATGATAAAACCGGGGCTGGAGAGATGGCTCAGAGGTTAAGAGCACTGACTGCTCTTCCAAAGGTCCTGAGTTCAATTCCCAGCAAGCACATGGTGGCTCACAACCATCTGTAATGAGATCCAGTGGCCTCTTCTGGTGTGTCTGAAGACAGCTATAGTGTACTCACATACATAAAATAAATACATCTTAAAAAAACAAAAAAAAATGATAAAACCAAATCTTAAATAGTCAGTTTTGTTTCCGTGCTTTCTCTAACATAGATTTCCTGCAGGAGAGTCAGCCTATGCATCTGGCTGCAGAAAACACAAACAAGGCACAGATCCTTTTTGTACAGTGAGTTTGGGAGTCATTTGGTGAAAAGTCACATGTTAATGTACATGGTCAGATGCACACAGGAGAAAGACCTTACTGTTGTAGAGAATGTGAAAAACACTTAAAAAGACATTTCTCTGCTGGGCAGTGGTGGTGCACGCCTTTGATCCCAGCAATTGGGAGGCAGAGGCAGGCAGATTTCTGAGTTCGAGGCCAGCCTGGTCTACAGAGTGAGTTCTAGGACAGCCAGGGCTACACAGAGAAACCCTGTCTCAAAAAAACAAAACAAAACAAACAAACAAAAAAAAGCCATGTCTCAAGAAACATCGGACTATTAAATTTAATATTTACTGCACACACATGTGGCACACACACAGACACACATCATACATACACAGAAATATTTTTTTAAAGGTAAGGAGTGGATTTTCTTTCTTTTTTTTTTTTTTTTCGGTTTTTCGAGACAGGGTTTCTCTGTGTAGCCCTGGCTGTCCTGGAACTCACTCTGTAGACCAGGCTGGCCTCCAACTCAGAAATCCACCTGCCTCTGGCTCCCAAGTGCTGGGATTAAAGGCGTGCGCCACCACCACCCGGCAGAAATTAAGTTTTTATGACTCCCAGTACCAGCCGACTATAAAGGCCGTGAGAAAGTGAGAAAGGAGAAGCAGGTCACTGAGCCGGATACTTCCTACTTCATGTCACTGGCAAAGTGGGCTCTAGTGCTTATACATAGACACACCCCTTTGTTCTTAGGAGACGCGTTGTCTGGTAAATAATATCCCAGCCCTTCATTGTTCAGTCCGTCCGGCAGAGCTCGATACTCCATCCCCTCTGCACTGTGAAAGCTCGTGAACCATTTCAGGGATCACTTCCCTCCTGGGGTGTGTCCATCCTCTTCTCTCATCCCGTCCAGAAAGCCTGGACCCTGCTCAGATGAGTTTATATAAGGATGTCATGTTGGAGAACTTCAGATACCTTCTTTCAGTGGCTAAGGACAACCACCCTCTGATATTCAGATTGTCCTTGCTGCCACCGCCCAGCTAACACACCTGAGACTTATGCTCATGTTTTGGAGCCCGAGTCCCAAGAAGGCGCTGGTATAGTGCCAGGAAAATGTTAGTGATCCCCCAAAACTGGACAGGAGCCATTTCCTGAATTTTATAATTTTATAATTTTATGGTGGCAGAAATGTCTACAATATCCATACTAGTGACTAACCCATTGATTTCAGGCATTTTGCTAGGCAATATCGTCAACAATGTTTTCTGATGCCCTTTCCCCCTTCGGATACTTTGACTACTTCATCTCTTTCATTTTGCTGTCCTGTTGTTGTAGCTGTCACAGTGAAACTGCAATCTCAAGTGCAGTCATGCGTTGCTGGGCAACAAGGATGTGTTCTGAGCAACATGTTTCTAGGTGGTTTCATTGTACACCACCATTGATCGTACTTTCTTTCTTTTTCTTTTTTTTGGGGGGGGGTTTGGTTTTTTTGAGACAGGGTTTCTCTGTGTAGCCCTGGCTGTCCTGGAACTCACTCTGTAGACCAGGCTAGTCTCGAACTCTCGAACTCAGAAATCCGCCTGCCTCTGCCTCCCAAGTGTGACCATACTTTCATAAACCTAGATGGTCTACCTATTGTACACACGGCATTGTATAGCTTATTGTTCTTAAGCTACACATGTATACTGTAGTTGTAAGGACCAATGAGACCGCTTCCACGGGAGTGGGATTTACTAAAGATGGAGGGTGAGAGAGACAGAGGGAGACAGAAGATGGCAGAGCGGAAAGAGAAGAGGTCGGGGAAGCTCCACCTATTTCTATGGATGAGGATGATGACATAGTTCCTGTAGCCAGGTGGAACTGTGGGAGTGTCTCCCTGGTGGCCTCGGCAACGATGCAACGCCACTGAGTTTGGACCTATACCAACAGTAGTTACTATACTGAAAACTATAGGCAATTTCAACACAATAGTCTCTGTTGGTAAACATGGAAAATATATAGGAAAAATATTAGGGAAGTGGATTTTTCGGCTCTATTTTAATTTAATGGGACCAACTTTGTACAGGAGGTCAGTCATTGGCCATAACTTCGTGATGCGGTGCACTGCTGCATAGCGCTTCCAGGTGAATTGTCCTAATCAATCACTGAATCTAAGGATGGGAGGCCCTCAGTTTGCGGCTGGCTATGTTACAGCCAGATCCGAGGGTCTCCAAAGACCACCAGGTATCAAACTCATATGCAAAAGCAAAGAGTCAGTATGGTATTCATGCTCAGGCCCAGACCCTCAGGCCCTCAGGCCCCTCTGATGCAGTGACCCTGAGCATTTTAAGGTTCAGCCTTTTCACTGTGGTTACAGCAGGGTGAGGGGCTTATCAACTTGGCAGTCACATGATTGGCTAACAGGGATTTCAGTTGGCTTAAGCAATCTATTTATATCTATCTGCAGCCTCTGGAATGTTAGGTATTTTCCTGCTGGTGGCCTGTGTCTAGGGTAGTTCCTTCCAGGAATAGTTTGTGTTTTTTTTTTTCCCAGTAGTTAAGAGTTTAACCTGAGAATAGAGCCTAGTATATAAAATGAAGGCCTGGTTGAATAGAGTCTGTCTTGTCAAGTTGGGGCCCTTCAGCTGAGAAGTGTAGTAATTTGGAGACACCAAACTGTGTTTGCTGTCTGACCCAAGACACAAGGCTGCTGTCTGAAGTTAGAGCAGTCTTCCGGGACAGAGGTTCTTAACCTGTGGGTCTGTACTAACTCAGGATAAGATTGAACTGTAGCACATCTAGATGGTGATGAAGAATTAGTTGTTGTTTTTGGAGAGGACACACAGTCCCAGCTCACCGGAGAAACCAAGTTAATTCTCCTTCAGCTTAGGTAGAAAACAGGGATCCATTTAGACCACAGGATATGAAATACCTTGTAAGATGCTTTGAAAAATTTCTCCTATATTCTGTAGAGTTTAGAGGGCATAAAGACTGGTACCTATTCTATTTCTTGGACCCATCATGGGACAAAGAGACCTCAACAAAGAGCGTTTGACAAAATGCCAAGCTACGCGCCAGGAACTGTAAGTAACTACTACTTCAAGAAGACACGCGCTTCAGTGTACCAAGAGGTTTCCAGTTAGAGCTTCTCTGAGAAGTCTGTGAAAGCATCCCACAGAGAGGGGGAATTGCTGAATAGCTTTAAAGACAGACCAACAGATCTTTCAAGAAAATCTTCTAGGTATCTCTTCTTCACAATCACTGTTCTAATTGAAGAGTCTCTACAGAGACTGCATGTTGGGTGTTTGGTTGGAGTCCCTTCCCAGGTTTGCCCTCTCCTCCACATGGTTCAGGAAATTCCATCTCCTCCCTCTCCTTCCCACATTCCTGACATTTCTGACAGGTGTCTCCACCCCTTTGCCTGAAGGCTCAAGCTCCCCTATCCCCTCCCATCTTTAAGAAGCTCCCAAATCATAGTCTGCCTGTGACTTCTCCCAGTTTTGCCTCCTGAGATTGGTGAGTTTATCTAGGAGCCCATCCCCAAATAAACCTTACTTTTTGTTTGTTTGTTTGTTTTTTGAGACAGGGTTTCTCTGTATAGCCCTGGCTGTCCTGGAACCCACTCTGTTGACCAGGCTGGCCTCGAACTCTCGAACTCAGAAATCCGCCTGCCTCTGCCTCCCAAGTGCTGGGATTAAAGGCGTGCGCCACCACCGCCCGGCTAGTTTTTTTTTTTTTTTTTTTTTACTTTTAATTCAGCTGAATTGGCTTATGTCTTCAGTGGAGAAAACGTTCATTGGGTAGGAGGGAGAGAAGTTTATAGTGAGGTCACTTTGGTTTCTAAAATACGAAGCCAGCTTGAGATCAAAGAGGTCTTGAAACTCAAGATTATATTGAACTGCAATTTGTAATTAGTAAAAGAAACTTGATCACACGAGTGGAAAGCCGTGAAATGATATCAGTGTATGCAGATTGTTGTTTGTTTTGAGAGACAGGGTCTTGCCGTGTAACACTGGCTGGCTGGGAGTTCACGCTGGAGACCGGGCTGACCTGAAACTCACAGAGCTCCACCTGCTCTTCCTCCTGATTTAAAGGTCTCCCAGCTACTGTTTAAACTTAAGTTTATTCTAGATCGCAATCAGGCTTGCAACGTGGCTAGCTCTATATCTCTTTGTGATTTAATAGTAGGCACGGCTATTCTTTACTTCAATGAAGACAATATAGGGATTCAAATGACAGATTAAGCAAGTATTTCCAGAAGGCATACAGATGTTGGGGTCACGGGGTGCACAAATAATGAGGAAAGGACCACAAAAGTCAGAAATAAAGCAAAAGCAAATTTTATTCCCCGTGGGAAAATACTTCTAACTGGTTAGGGTCTCGGCCCAGACAGCTACAACCTTTGAAAGGGCATGAACAGTCTCCCTTTGAAGCATAAACCCAGGAGCAGATGTTCAGGGAATGATAAAGAAGGAATTCGTAAAATGAGGGTTAGTTCTGGAGTCCAGGGTGTGGCAGGGAACGGAATGTTGTTTCAGGCTCAAGGCTATTCTGAGGCAGCAGTTTTATCTCGGCCTTTGTGGAGCTCACCCAGGTCAGGTGGTTTTACTGCAACTTGAAAGAAGGTAAGGCTTGAGGACATGCAATATGTTGGGGGCGGCAGTACCCCTGGAATAATAATACTTGGAATTACTCTGGGCTCTTTACACAAAGGAAACCTTGGCTATTATTTGTAATTCGTAGTGCATTCTTTTCCTCCTTTGGGTAACTCACCTGGCAATGGCTAAAATTGGGAATAGAAAAAAAAATAATTGTGACCCTTCAGTTCTTTTTTTTGGTCAGGCCAGAGATCATTACCAGTCTCATCCTCACTATCCATCCTGCGTAGGGAATGAAGAGATTAGGGAAGAACGGGCATCCTAACCAATTTGAGTGTCTAAGACCTCGCCTCAGAGATTGCACCTAGGAACCGAAATTCTGAAATCACAACCACATAGGTGACAGGAGCGCCACGGTAACACGCAAGATGCCACATTCATGTAGGCACAGCCTTACACTTAATCCACAACTCCACAGTGACCAGACATTTCATGCTCTCACAGAAAACTATCAGAATGTATTACAAACAACCCCCCCCCCCAAAAAAAAAAAAAAAAACCATTCAAGGGCACGGTGTCCGCACAGTCCCACGACTCCAGCGCCCACGGATCTCCCCTGTCCTCGCTTGGAGCCCTTTAACTATTTATTTATTCCTACAAATCCGAACCTGAAGCCCCGAACAGCAACAAAATTTGTACTCTCTCGGATTTCTACCTCGCTCCTAACGGTCCCGCCGGGGAAACACCAGTGTTCCTAGCCTTTCTGGGAAATGTAGTCCACAAAGGGACACCCACCTAGCGCGCCCAGCGCCCCCTCTGGTTGTTCCCGAAAAGACTGTTCCCTCGGCTGCTCACGTGCAGCGCCGCTCCGCTGCCGGCGTCACCGTCCCGCGGCGCAAAAACGGGCTCAGCCACCTAGGCGCCTTCGGCCATCCCTCCTGTCCCCAGCACAGGAAACGCGAGCCGAGCTCTGACCGGAAGTCGGGTCGGGCCGCGGGTCCTTCTGGGAGCACCTGTGCTCCGGGACATAACGGGCGCGCGCTGCTGCCCGAGTCTGCGCTCCTGGCCGTGCGTCGCCTGCGTGGAGTGTCTCCGAGGTTGCGACTCGGGGGGTTTTGGCTGGTGACGCTGCCGGGATCCCCTCCGCGGGAGAGGCACGAGCGGTCCGGTTTGTGCCAGCCGTGCGGCTTCGGACCGGGCGCGGGGTCTCGGGGGGACTAGGCGTACCCGGACGGACAGCTCTGCCGTGTGCTCTCGGCCAGAGCGCGGTACGCGCGGCTGTGCGGAGCTGCCACCCGAAAACCCGGTGAGAGCTTGCGTGCCGCGCTGGCGGTTTTGAGGGGGTGTGGTTGTGTAGGTGCGGGTGTCGTGTCACGGCCATGTTTGGTGGCGTGTGATGGAGCGAGGGTGTGGTGAGTGTGGGGGTGGCGAGGCGTGTGCACTTGGACCGCGGAGTTCTGAGGTTTGGAGCATTTGGCGTTAACTCCTAACTAAGGGAAGAAGTCCACTTTCTCATGGTTTCCCCCTCCTCATGGCCGCCCTTCCAACACTTTCTTCCCAGTTTTTCTTTCTATAACTTTCTAAGTTCATTATTACCTAATGGCTTGCTTGCCTTATTTAATTTTTTCAAATCCTCCCTCCCGCCCTCCCTCTCTCTCTCTTCTTCTTTTTCTTTCATCGTCGCACTGTGAAGGGTAAACCTAACGCTTCAATCACGCCAGGCAAAAACTCTTTACCAGTGAGCTACATTCCCAGCCCTGAAATGAGTTTAATTATGGCTGAAAAAAACAAATCCCCAAGCTCAATAAATAGCAAATCAACTGGGATTCATTCTCCCAAATCACTTTGCTAGCAGATTCATTGCATTTAGCTGATCCTGGCTGCGTTTGGTTGAATCGATCGGATAGATTCAGATCTCTCTCTCATTCACCCCCACCCCCACCCCCACCCCCGGGGCTCAAGTTCAAAAGAACTGATTGCAAAGATTTTTTTTTTCACGGTGGATTACCGGAGCACAAGGGGGGATCATGCAACAACTCTAAAAACCTCCGCTTCCGAATGTGTCCATATTTAGCCAAAGAAAAGTTGTGTGGGTAAGCTTGTAATCTATTACATTTGAAGACAAGGCATTGTTACCCAAATAACTGTTTGCCACATTAAGAAATCCCCAGAAGTACTTTTATACTGGGGGTTACCATTTAGTGTGAGTGTTCTTTGATTATAGTTTGCTCGTGTGTGTGCTCTCTCGTGTGTGCTCACTCATGTGCGCTCTCTGGCACATTGCATTTGTCACAAGTTTTATATTCCAAACCCTTTGTCTTTATGTTTCAGGTTTCTGATGAGCAGCATATCAGCTGAGTTTTTTTTTTTTTAATTCATGTATCTGGCCTGACTATTAATAGGTGAGTTTAATTCTGCTATATTATTATATTTCTGAAAAAATGTTTTTATTGTTGTACACCAAACCAAGCCATCTCTTTCTGTCATTCTTGAGTAATATATTACATTACTTTCTAATACTTTAAAATTCTTAAGCTGTGTGTGGTGGCACATGTCATCCCAGCACCCAGGAGGCTAACGCAGAAGTTCACATTCAGGGCCGCTTGAGGCTAATCCAAGGTACAGAGAAACAAAAAACAAAAACCAAAAAAAGGGAGGTGGGCAATCCCAGGTGAGCAGATGTCCTTCATATGTTCTGCATGAACATGTATTTTTAAAATGGTGGTAAATACAGAATAAACAATTCATTATATTAGTACTTAGTCACATGGTTCCGTGACAGGACATTTACGGTCATGTTCCATCACTACCCACAGTACTGATTTCATAGTAGAAATCGGAACAGTGATTCCGTGTCCTCCTTACTCATAGTTCCAGCAACTGAGTCTTCGAAGTATTTAATATAAGAGGACCTGTCCTGTAGTTATCCATACGTAACTCCTGGGTTAGTAGTGTCAGAATTCTCTTCAAACCGTAAGCAATATGTTGTGTATGAGTAAAGATTTTTAGTCTCCTCCTGAGTCTGTGAACACGTGTGAACACAAGCTACTACTTGGCTGTTGCAGATGCCACTGCTCTAAACAAAAGGACAAAGAATCCGTGTCCTTGCTTTCAGTTGGTTTGGGTGTTATACCCAGGAGGAGAGCTGCTTGATTTTATTGGTTACTCTATTTTTAGTTTTTTGACTGCCCGATATGGGCTGCATATCTGATTCACTGAACACATAGCTATCATTGGTAAAATTAGACAGAATTCCTGTTTTCATGAAGACAGTGGGTAGATACCGTAATAGAAATTATGCCACTTCTTAGAATTTGAGAATTGTGGAATAAAAAGTAAACACGTAGAGTTTGTAAGTGGCACACATGTATAATCCTGGTACTCAGGAGACAGGATAACAAGTTCAAGACCAGCCTGGATTAGAGCGAGAGCGCTTGATTTTAAAGACAGAAGTAACTCTGTGAAAGCATCTCTTTCTCTTTACCAAGTAAAGGCTCACAGATGGTAAACTAGTATATTTTAATAGCCATTTCATTTATTTATATCTAGTGTCAGGTGACATAGTTATAATTTTTATTTCAAACGAAGTCATGGGATTCTAAATTACAATGCTCTTTTACCTCAACGACTAAGGCAATTCATATAGAGAATGGTAATATCATAATATATCGCTTTTTTTTAAAACAACATCCCAGACACTGTTCCCCCTCAGGGTCCCTGTCCCCCCCCCCCCCAGCCCCACCCATCCTCCAAATAGCTGGCTTTTTATGTACCTCCCTTGACTGCAACTGGGGATTTCTGTGACTCAGTGCTTTCCAAAAGCTTTATTATCTCACGTGCTTGTGAAGTGCTCCTGTCACAGCATTCGAGAGGAGGTCAGACAAGTTTTAGAGTCAGTTCTCTGCTCTTCTATGTGGAAGGTTCCAGGCAGAGAACTCAGGTCATCAGGCTGAAGCAATGAGCCTTGTTATGCGGCACCCTGCCAGCCCGAGTCATCACTGTTTGATTCAGCCATATCTGACTGCATTGAGGCTACACTAGTGAGTCCAGAGATGTTCCAGCACCATTTTGTTTCTAGACTCTTTGTGTCTCTTTTGAGTCCTTCATTTACCCTGACCCGGTTTTTGCATCTAGTAGCTCTGGCTGCAGAGAGAGTGTTACAAACAAGGAAATTAGTGTTGGGGGTTCTGTTAATTAGCTCTTGGTAGGCATCACATTGTTCAAAACCGTGATGTTTTAAACAGCACTAATCTACCAGGAGATAGTAACTGCTGGAGGCTGTCTCTGAGCCTGGTTATGACACAGAACCTGTGAGGACGCGTGAGGCCAATTTTAGTTGTGGTCTAAGCCCACAGGTCCTGCCTCCTAACACTAAGACTGTGCCATGAGCATAGAGATGGCTGAGAACAGATGACTGTCATGGAGGAGACCTTCTGACCTGAGCCCCACAGCACATGCTGCAGGGTCCTGGGAAAGGGTGGACTCTGGCCCTGCAGACCGTCTTGACCAGCACTTCCCAGAGCCGACAAGCACTACATGACTGTCTCAACCTTGAAATACCAGCAACAGCTGTGGGGCATGGAACACTTCTCCCAGATGGCGGGAAGACGAGGTGAGGTGTCACAGGAAAGAGCAGCGTGGGTTCGTGGGTATTACCGATTATATGTGATAGATAGTTTCATTTTGTTAATTTGACTGATTTTTACGTTTATGTATTTTGTGTGTCAGTGTCTGCATGCACATGTGTGTAGGCTCACACATACCACAGAGCATGTGAATAGGTCAGGACAATGTGCAGGTATTGGTTGTCTCCTAAGGGTAGAACTCGGCTTGTCAGGTTTGGAGGTACGCAGCTGCTGAGCCGTCTTACTGGCTCCATCATTTTCCTAGAGAATATACTTTAGTGTGTTTTAAAAGTGGTGTTATAAACCAGAAGTAACGTCTCTTGTCTCAGTGCTCCCTATTCCTGCTCATACTTAGAACATTTTTATCTGGGTGCTCACCACCACTTTTCTTAATAACACCTATACATTGCTAGTTTTTGATTAATTAAGTTTTTACACTTTCTGTAATTCACATCAGGACTTTTCTTTCTTAAAGAAATACTATATGTATTTCTATTTCCTATATAATACTGTACGTATTGCTATGTAGCCAGTAGTAGGTTATTAACTTCCCGGAAATCTCATCAGACGGCAGCATGTGGTAAGTTTAGTTCTCGGCGTACAGTTCAGGGTCTCTGGAGATCGGTGTGGTACTTAACCGTTGAGGATCGAGTTTCTAGGGGATCTTAGACCATCTGGTCAGAAAGAGCTCCACATTCCTTTGTCGGGAACTCTGAGCAAATCTGTTGTGCTTCTCTTTCCTCAGCTTGGTGGTCTGAGGACGCTGCACTTCGCCAGGAAGAAGAGGACATGAGCAGGCCTTCTGTACGTTCTAAACATCATCTTTGCCCTACGTTGTGTGCGGTATAGCTGTTGTGGGCTGCTATAATCTATCACTAAGCTGGGGGAGGTGAAGTGAATGAAGTGAAGAAAATGCAGATCAACGTGAGAGCAGGGGAGGGGAGCACAGCTGGGAGGTATCGGTGCCTGCAGAGCTCGCTGGGCTCAAAGTCCAGTGTGATGTACAGTCAGAGCAAACAGACCTGAAGTCATTCCGTGGCCAGTAGTTTCTGAGGAAAAAACTAAGGAAAGCAAAAGCTTTTCATTGTTGCTGAAACCAAAAAATTCTAAAATAGTTTGATTTTTGTTATTTTAAGCTCAATTTTTTTGATGGGGGGTTTTCAAGACAGGGTTTCTCTGTGTAGCCCTGGCTGTCCTGGAACTCACTCTGTAGACCAGGCTGGCCTTGAACTCAGAAATCCGCCTGCCTCTGTCTCCCAAGTGTTGGGATTAAAGGTGTGTGCCACCACCGCCCGGCTTTAAGCTCAATTTTTACAAATCAGTCTTGACCAGAGAAAAATTATATAGAAGAGTAAGTGGAATATTTATGTTTCATTGGAATAATCTTCCATTTTTCATTTGGTTAGTTTTTTTTTTTTTTCTAGTTTAAGATTTTGATGGGAAAGCCAGGCGGTGGTGGCGCACGCCTTTAATCCCAGCACTTGGGAGGCAGAGGCAGGCGGATTTCTGAGTTCAAGGCCAGCCTGGTCTACAGAGTGAGTTCCAGGACAGCCAGGGCTACACAGAGAAACCCTGTAAACCAAAAACAAAACAAAACAAAACAAAACAAAAAAAAAAAAAGAATTGGGATGTAGATCTTGTCCCTGACAGCTCTTACTTGTGTATGAGTAGATTACATACCAGTTAGAAGAACCCTCTACAGTGCTATGTGGCATAGCTGTCTTAGGGTTTTACTGCTGTGAACCGACACCATGACCAATGCAAGTCTTATAAGACAGCATTTAATTGGGGCTGGCTTACAGGTTCAGAGATTCAGTCCATTGTCATCAAGGCAGGAAACATAGCAGCATCCAGGCAGGCATGGTGCAGGAGGAGCTGAGAGTTCATCTGAAGGCTGCTAGTGGAAGACTGACTTCTAGGCAGCTAGGGTGAGGGTCTTATAGCCACACCTGTGGGGAAAATTAGTGGGCCGCAGTGGAGGCCTGGTGGGTTTCCACACTGTGGCGGGTCCCACGTGCAGGAGGAACGTCTAACGTTCCAGCGGCCTGGAGGCTTTGAGCTGGCAGGCCCCAATGACAAGAGGAAGTCTTTGGTTCCAGAAAGGTTTATTGTCATGGCGGATGGTGGATGGATTTGGATGTACCCCCATAAAACTCTGGGCAGACTTAAATAGGGAGGGAGAAAGGGGGAGGGTGGGAGAGGATCTGGGGAGGCATGTTTAATTTGCTCTGTCCTCTGGCCTTCATTAGTATGTAAATCTCTAGGCCCTGAGGCCTCTAGTCACACCCTCTACCTGTTTACTTTGGGTGGGGCTGTAAATCTTTGGGGACTAGACTGCTTTTCAGGACCCTGGATTCTGGGGGGGGCGCCGAACTCCTGCCGGTTCTCATGCTGTCTCGGGGTTCTAGGTACCTGCCCAGCCATGAACCAGAATACCCTTTCGAAGTCCCACACACACCCACATTGACACACCTACTCCAACAGGGCCACACCTTCTAATAGTGATACTCCCTGGGCTGAGGCTGAGCATATACGAACCATCAGAACAGCTTTGTGAGAAATTACTCTGCTATAAACTGTATCTTTTTGTTGTTGTTGTTTTTGTTTGTTTGTTTTTTTTCGAGACTGGGTTTCTCTGTGTAGTCCTGGCTGTCCTGGAACTCACTCTGTAGACCAGGCTGGCCTTGAACTCAGAAATCCGCCTGCCTCTGACTCCCAAGTGCTGGGATCATATAAACTGTATGTTAACACATGCAGCCATTATCAGAAGTCTGTGGCATAGGTGTTACTTTTTTATAGATAAAGAAAGTGGAAAATAGAGGTTAAGAAGCATATATAATCAAGTGCCAGTGTGTAGTAACTTAGGACTCAAACCAGCCCTCTAGTGCCCACATCCTGATGCTGGACCCCCGAGTAAAAGAATCACTTTGCCAATGGCCTCTTCCCATTGTTTGTCATTTTAATTTTGTCTCAAGACAGGGTCTTACTGTGTAGATCAGGCTGGCCTCAAACTCACACAGATCCACCTACCTTTGCCTCCAAGGCACTGAGAGCAGTGGCTTCCGCTGCCTTTTACTGCGTTGTAGGCAAATGTCACCACTTTTGGCTGCTTTCACATTGTGACTGTTATGCATAATCCTGTTTAGAACATTTGAGTACAAGTTTTTTTAATTTATTTTTAATTCATGTGCATTAGTGTCTTCCCTGCATGTATGTCTGTATGAGAGTGTGAGTTACAGACAGTTTTGAGCTGCCATGTTGGTGCTGGGAATTGAACCCAGGTCCTCTGGAAAAGCAGCTAGTGCTCTTAACTGCTGAGCCATCTCTCCAGCTCCTCGAGTACAAGTTTTTACATGACATATTTTCAGTTTTCTCGTGTGTGTATCTAGGTATGAAATTCATGAGTCATGTTTATTTTAAACTTTTAAGGAATCATTTCTTTATTATTAAAAATACTGGGGACTGACAGTAGTGGCACATGCTTTTAATCCTAGCACTTGGGAGGCAGAGGCAGGTGGATTTCTGAGTTTGAGGCTAGCCTGGTCTACAGAGTGAGTTCAAGGACAGCCAGGACTACACAGAGAAACCCTGTCTCGAAAAAGAAAAAAACAAAAAATACTGGGACCATTTTACCCCCCTGCAGTATATGAGGGATGTAGCTTCTCTGTGTCCTCATCAACACCTGTCATTTGTTCTTTTGGCTGTAGCCGTCCTGCTATATATGAAGTCTGTCCCATTGTGATTTTAATTTGCATAAATTTAATGCCTGGCAATATTCAACATTGAATATGATTTATTGGCCGTTTGTGTATTTTTTCAAAGAAAGACTTATTCAGAGCCAATGCCCACTTTTTTGAGGGAGGAAGGTTTGAATCAGATTCTCTGTGTTATAGCCCTGGCTGTTCTGGAACTTGCTCTGTAGACCAGATTGACCATCAAAGCAGAGACCTACGTGCCTCAGCCTCACAAGTGCTGTGGTTAAAGGCGTGAGCCTCCATGACTGGCCTTGGTTTTTCTTTCTTTTAATTACATGTATTTTCTGGGCATGGTGATACCCACCTTTTTAATCCCAGTAGTCAGGATGCAGAGGCCCATATATCTCTGTGAGTTCTCTGTAACACAGCTTGATCTGTGTTATATAATGGAACTCAATCTCAAAACAAACAACAACAAAAAAATGCATTTGTTCATGGTGTTTGAAGAATGTACCAGGACGTAGATGTAGAAGTTAGAAGGTGGCTGGCTGGCTGGGGTCAGTTCTTTCCTTCCACCGTGTGGGTCCCGGGGATGTAACTAGGTTGTCAGTCTTGGTCGTAAGTACCAATATCCACTGAGCTGTCTTGTTGGCCTAGTTTGTCTTTTTTTAAGTTTTTATTCTTTAGTTTACTGTGTGTGGGGGTGTAGGTGTGGGTCCACAAGGAGCTAGGGCAACTTTAGGAGTTGGCTCTGGGCTTTCACATGCAGAGGCAGGGTCTCTCTTGCTTCTGTGCTGTGGTGTGTACTCCAGGGTGGCAGTCCCACAACTAACCACCTCCCATGTGTGCCTCCCCGTCTCACCATAGGAGTGTGTGTGCCACCAGCGCTGGCTTTTTCCATGGCTTCCAGAGATCGGACTTAGGCTATCAGGCTCGTTGAGCCGTCTCCCCACTCCTGAGTCGGTTTGCTCTCTTAGTAAATTTGCATGAGTTTTTTTCATATCATGTCCAAGGAAACATTGTCTAGACCGACCTCTTGGTTCCTCTAGGCTGCATCGGGTCAAGAACTGCCTTGGGCCACACATTAAACACACAAACACCAATGAAACAAACTCAAAATTCAAAAAGTGTGCAGAGCTGGTGAGGCGGCTCAGCAGTCGAAATGCTGGCTGTGGTTCCTGAGCTGGGGTGGGGCTCAGTTGGAGTACTCACTCAGTGTGCGCAAGGCCGACAGCCCGAGTTCTGTCCCTGAGACCATCAAAGGAGAAGAACTGACTCCCTCAGGTTGTCCTCTGACCTCTACAGCCATGCCAAGGTATATGTGCATAGCCTCTCTCACACAAAATAAATATAGTAATTTAAATTGTCAGATGTTCGTGATATCGTCCACCATAGATAGCAGAAAGTTGTCCTTGCATCATCTTAATTATTTGATTCCCCTTCAGAAATTGATAAAGATCATCAAACAGGTCCTCATTTTACTGCAATCACTAATAAGAAAACTGACATCTCTAAGTACAGGACTTCAGTGATGGGGCCTACATTTTACTATCAGTGTAAAGAAAGAGGGCAAGCAACATAAGCCTACTGGGATATTTACACTCTAGTATGACAGTGTCTGGTCCGATGGATATAGTTGCAAGTCTCAAAGTGTGGGTTCTGATTTCACTCTTAGTGTGTGTCATTCTTGACAGTAGTTTCTCAGAAGCTAGAGAAAGCAGCTACGAGCAGACTTGTTACTCTCGGAGGGGTTGGGTTCGCTCCCCTAGCACCCACATGCTAGCTCACAGCCACTAAAGCCCAACAGGAATCCAAGAGGCACACACATGCTGCATATAAGTGCGTGCAAGCAATACTCAGAAAGGAAAATCAATCTTAGCTTATCCAAGCCAAAGCCATCTCTTTAGTTACATTGTCATTGTCCTCGGTGCCTCCAGTAAACATGGCAAGTAGAAGCGCCTTAGTGGGATCGGCCTGGCTTCGCTGCTGAAGCATGCACGGAGGTCAGCTCTGGGCCCCAGCCTCCTTCAGATCCGTGCTCCAGTGTCTCCGTTTCCCAGGTGGAGTCTGGTGACACAAACTTTTTAAGACTAAGCAACATTCTCCCCGTGCTACTTAACAAACTCACCATTAGTGTAAATGTGCTGCACATGACTGGTTAGTTTCTACAGTGGATTCTGAGGTATAACTTCAACACCATTTATGAATGGACCCGTGCCACAGTGCAGCTGCAGAAGTCCGAGGACCACGTTTGGGAGCCAGCTCTCTCCTTCCCTGTGGGTTATGGGGCTCCAACTCTGGTCATCTTCCCAGCCCTGAGTTGTAATGTTTACAAACGTTGAAAAGTTGGACTGTTTTCCATGCTACTATTTTCATCCTAGGACACAATTCTTGAAACCCATGGAACTTAGCAGCATGTTCTGTATACAACGCCTTTTATATAATGCCTTCTGACAATACAGTCTTTGCGCCTTCACACAGTCCCTACACATTGTCCACACAAAAGGAGTTTGCTGTCACTTTCTGTTGAACAGTCTTGCTTTACCTATAGTGGGTTTTTTTTTTTTGTTTTGTTTTTTGTTTTTTGTTTTTTGTTTATCGAGACAGGGTTTCTCTGTGTAGTCCGGGCTGTCCTGGAACTCACTCTGTAGACCAGGTTGGCCTCGAACTCAGAAATCCGCCTGCCTCTGCCTCCCAAGTGCTGGAATTCAAGGCATGCCCCACCACTGCCCGGCAACATTATCAGTTCTTAAGTACCAAGTATTTGCACTAACTATTTTTTTTTGAACATCTTATTTATTAGTTTTGTGTCTGTGAGTATTTTGCCTGAATGCATGTCTGTGCATCACCATGTGGTGCTGGGAATTGAACCCAGGTCCTCTGAAGATCAGTCAGTGCTTTTAACTGCTGAGCCATCTCTCCAGTCCCAGCTTAAAGGGTTTTCGTTGGTTGTTTTTTAGTGATTTCCCTCATTCCCTCCTCATCTAATTGTTTTTCTTGTTTCTTTTTTGAGACCAGGCTTACCTGTATTGTCCAGGATAGTCTTCATCTTGGCCTCACATGTAGTTAGCCTTTGACTGTTTGCTCTCTTTTTTTTTTTCCTCTGAATTTTTGCCACATGTTTTCCATTAAACCTCAGCAGTAGAAACGGTTTTGGGTCTCAGAGTTCTCGTATGTTCAATTGTGTGTCATAAATTGGGTTATTTGTGGCAATTGGAGACTCTTCCCACTGATGTGGCAAGAAAGTATTGCATGATGGGTAAAAGCCTGTGGCTCTGCAGCCACACTGCTTGAGCTAGAACCCTACATTGCTTTATCTTACCCTAATACTTAAATACTCAGGATGATAGTAAAGCCAGTGTCTCGTTGATGGGTGATGGAATCATTTCTATTGACATAGTTACTTCATTGTTTTTGAGACAGTTTTGCTGTGTAGCTTTAATTGGTTTAGAACTCAGAGTTCTGCCTCTGCTTCCTAACAGGTGGGATTAAAGGCGTGCAGAGCCACACCCAGTGCCATATTAGCTTTTTAAATTTTCTAACAAGGCTATGAGTAGGTATTACCATTGTCTATTTAAAAGCCAAGAATATGCCGGGTGGTGGTGGCGCACACCTTGAATCCCAGCACTTGGGAGGCAGAGGCAGGCGAATTTCTGAGTTCGAGGCCAGCCTGGTCTTCAGAGTGAGTTCCAGGACAGCCCGGGCTTTACAGAGAAAGCCTGTCTCAAAAAAACAAAAAAAAAAAAACAAAAACAAAACAAAAAAGGCAAGAATACTGTATCTAAAAGTAACCCAGCCCCTTCAGTAGGCTGTCACAGAGCAGGGTTAAAGACATGCGCCACAGCCTGAGACATTTTAAACAACTTAAAGCAAGCACGAGTCATCTAATCACGTACTTTTCCATAAATACTTCATTCAGTTTTTATTTCCATTATGCTATTAATTCTAATACGTTGGTTGTAAATAAACCGTGCGTCTTTCTTTGCTGTTTGACTTGGTCCTCTTTAGTCTAGTTCCCAGCTGTATCATATGTTCTTGTTAACCATTCACACTTGCCACTGAAGATTTATCTTCCAGGTTTAGACTGACCTGTGTTCTCTGCGCCCTACTTCAGGTGTCTGACTGCATACCAGGTGTTTTATCTGGAAGTCCAGGGGGAATTTCAAACTTGCCTTTTCAGATATTCCTGCCTTTCTTCCTGCGTCTTTCTCGTCCCCGTTACTCTGCTCTGCTCCCTTTCTCTCTAAGTGGAATACCTCAGTGCTGTCAGGTCTGAGCTCCGTATGAGTCACGGTCACCTCTTTCATCCCCTCACAGTTAAACTCAGTGACCACTGCCCCCAGTCAGCTGCTGACAACAGGAGGGAATGCTTGTTGACTCGGGTTCATAGACTCTTACAGGGTATTTTCACTGTCATTGCCCCTCTGTATACACGAAGCTTGGTAAATATGAAGACTGGCCTTGATTACTAGCCAGATAAATTCTTACTTATTTTGATCACAGGCCCTAATTTTGATGACTTCAGATTAATTGGAAATTTTCTTTTATATATAGAAAACAATGACATTCAAGGATGTGGCTGTGGACCTCACCCAGGAGGAATGGCAGCAAATGAAGCCTGCGCAGAGGGATTTGTACCGAGATGTGATGCTGGAGACCTACAGCAACCTAGTAACTGTGGGTAAGGAGAGCTTTCCAGTTACCATGGAATTCCTTTCATTCCTAGTTGGCTGGATGAGCCTGGCCTTCCCTCATGATTGCGCATGCCCCACCCCTGACGGCAGGGAAGGCAGGCAGGTGCTGGCAGGGTCACGATGCTGGCGAGGTACTGTGCAGGTTCCTTGGTTCTCTTTCCCACGTCCTCAAGATCCCAAGATTCAGCCCCAGATCTCTAGATTGTGACCAGCATTGTCATGCAAGTTCTTTCCTGTTTCCTGATCCAGGTTGTCAAGTCACCAAACCAGATGTGATCGTCAAGTTGGAACAAGAAGAGGAGCCGTGGGTGCTGGAGGAAGAGAGGTTTTGGAGACGCTCTCCAGGTGATTAAGTGAGAAGTGGCTCTTAATGAGAAAGCCACGTGACAGAGTTCAGTGAGACTCTGTTCCCCATTTCCCAAGACGGCCTTATCCTAGACTTTCTTCTTAATGACAGATGTGTGTGTGACATGCCACTTGTTGGATTGTGTGACATTTCTAGGAATGACTCTGCTCTATTGGAGTTGTGCTCTTTTTTCAAACTTTAGAAGGGCAGAACCCTATGACTTCAGAGTGTGTCTGCAGCTTCCCCTGTGCCCGCCTTCCAGTGTGCCGGCAGCTTCCCCTGTGACTTTTGTACATTTCTATGGTTCTTGCACCCCACCTCACTCATGTTCACAATTTGATCTTCTTACACAGTATGTTTTGTGGACTGTGGCATTTTAAGCCAGCCTTAGTTCACACTTGGGATTCCTTTAGTTGGTGGCTTCAGTGCACTCTGGAAAGCTTCACCTTGGGTTTTATAGTAAGTGGCACTTTCCATTGTACTTCACAGGCCTCACGAGTCGGTGCTTTTGAAGGTTCCGTTCCTGCCTTCGAAAATACTGTGGTGTCTCCTTCCTACTTATCCACATCTTCCTCCTGTGCCTGCTAGGTTAAAAAATGAAAACCATCCAAAAATACAGTTTAAAAGTATCCTCCATCCTCCACACTTTGTTCTCTCTCTCTCTCTCTCTCTCTCTCTCTCTCTCTCTCTCTCTCTCTCTCTCTTTCAGCTGTATTCACTCCCTTGTTTCCAGAGCTCTCCTGTTTATTTTGCCATATGTATATTAGCTTAACTGTCTTACTTGGAAAACCCATGCTGCTGAAGACTGTGCTGGATGCATGAGTCGGCCAAGGCCCCTGTCTGTCTGTCTGTCTGTCTGTTCTCCATCTACTTTGAGAAATGGAGCTTTCTAAGTTCTCCTCTTTACATTTTGTTTGTTGTTTGTTTACCCACATATTAGATAAGAAAGAAAAACAAGTTCTCTAAGAATTGAAAGGGGGCTAGAGACATAGCCCACCAGTTAAGAGCACTGGCTGTACTTCCAGAGGATCTGAGTTCGGTTCCCACAAATTCATGGCAGCTTACAACTGTCTGTACCTCTATGTCAGGGGATCTGATGCCTTCTCTGGTCTCCTTGGGAAGTAACTAATATGAAATGAAAATTTAAAAACATTTTTGAAAGAAATGAAAAGGAAATTATAAAACCATTTGAATTTACAGGTGTTGGTATCGTCTCCCTGGAAAGTGCTAGAACCATTGAGATGGTGTGTCAAGTTGTTTGAGAATCCAGTGAGGTAATAGGAATGTAACACATAAAAACTAATAGCCCTCACAAATACCTCACAGCTAAGAGGACATAAAAGAAAGAATGTCCATTTGTAGTAATAGCAGTAAAAATAAAATACTGTTTGAGGCATGGGCATATAACAACGTACAAAACAAAGACAACGTACATGGCACTTAGAATTTATGGGTTTTTGTTTGTGTGTATGTGTGTGTTTGGATGGGTTTTTGGTTTCTGTGTTTTAGGTTGGATCTCTAGAGAGACCATGCTGTTCTTGAAGTCTCTGGTCCCTCTGCCTCGACCTCTCAAGTGTTGAGCGTATGTGATGCCGGAAATCACACAGGGGTTTGTGCGTGCTGAGCGAGCACTCTACCAACTGAGACACATCCTCAGCCCAGATTTATTTTCTAAGAAAATGCCTTTGAGTACTGGAGAGATGGCTCAGCAGTTAACAGCATTTGCCTCTTGCAGAGAACCTAGCGTTTTGGGTACCAAATGCACATAGTACACATACATATTCACTCCAGTACACATAAAATTAAAAATATAAAGGATAGACCTTTCTAAATTATTACATTTGACAAGATTGGCTGTATCAAATTCTTAAGCCTTGTTTTGTTTCCCAAAGTTTTACTGTGGGGAGTGTCTTGTGAGCTTTAGTCAGTTCTGTGTTATTTCCACTTTTAAATATTGCTGGAAAAGGAGCCTGGTTGTTTGTTCTCATAAATCACTTGCTCTGCTTGTCCACACGGGCTGTCGGGGTTCACGCGTGGGGAGTCGCTTTGTCGCATTTTCTCTAAAGCTTTAGAAACGCTGTCAGCTATGATGGTATTTCCTTCAGACTTGTGGATTCTTTTTCTCCCTTCCATACATTTGTTTGTTTTGTTTCCATTGTTAGGAATCACACTCACCTTCCCCAACTTGTGCATTCTAAGCAAGTGCTCTACCACCAAACACCTCTATAAGCTCAAAGATTCTTTTGGGGTTTTGATTTTATACTGCCATTATACAGATTAGTTAGTGTGCTTTTCTGATTCTCACTGTTTGTCTCAGGAGTCTCATTGTTGGAGTATTTTCTCCTGGACCCACTACAAAGAGAAAAAAACGTTCCGAGCTAATAGAAAATCTTTGTACCTCACAGTGACCATTCCATCAGGTTCAAAGTTGGGTTGCCCATTGTCCTAAGCTGAAGGGACTGTCATCTTCATGATTCTTTTGTCTTCAGGTCCCTCCCACTCTCCTGTGCTAACAGTGTGTTTTTCCAGAGTAAGGTTTGTTTGCATCTGCTTACTCAGTTGTTCTTCCCTCGCCATTTGTCAAGACCACATGAAGTCAGCTAGGTGCCTTCCGCTGTCAACTCACCGGGACCTCAGAGTTGGACAGTCTGTGTCTGTGTCTTATAGAACTCTGTTTCCTAGATATCTGAGAGAAGAAGTACGTTTTGACCTCTGGACTTCTTCTCTACCTTAGACAACCCATTTTCTGTTCTTTGCTTATATTCCGGAGTTAAAGTTTCATTGAGGATGTATTTTCTGTTCTGTTCTTTCTATTTGTAGAGGGAGACATGTTTGCTATACCACCATATTGAATTGGGGAGACTTCTGCTCTGTTGATCCCATAAAGCACCCTTCTAGGAAATAGCTTTCCTCTTTCCTTTTCTCCACGTTTGGATTTTTCTTTCGGTCTCACTCACTGTTTATTTCTTGTTGTTTTATGAAATGCTTTTTGCAGCACTCCTTTTCTCAACTTCTCCTGGACTGTTAGGGACCAGGCCAATTGAAGACTTCGTCACAGGCTTGTTGGAAGGACAAAGGGGACATTAATATCTGTGTCCTTGTTCATGGACAGACTTGACAAGGTCCGAGGTGGGGCCCAGGGTCTCAGGGGAGTCAAGGTTTCAGTTCCTGGAAACCGACTTTTCCCCAGACTTTGTGATTATCAGTCCCAAGGCCAGTGATGTGCTTGATCTGTGCACACTCAGACAGTCTGTGTCCCTTTGTACAACATTTCCTGATGAGCTTCCTGCTGACCCATCGCATTGTGTGACAGCTGACTGCTGGCTCGGGCCCGTTTTCTCTGCCAACAGTGGATAAGATGCCCTGCTGTGTACGTAGTATACATGCTGGCATGGTCCACAGCTGATGCAGTCCTCCTCACTCTAGCTTTGTGTCTTCTTTATGTTCTCATCCCTGGTCCTCCCATGACACCTCGCAGTTTAGGACCCTCATTCCTTCAGGTTCAGGTCGTAGGAGATCTCCCTGAACAAGTTACATATGGACACTTTCCTTTCATGTGCCTACCTGATATTTCTGTGTTCATCGCATTAATCTGATCTGTAGCTCTAGAAATGGCAGTGTGGGAATGTTACCTTTAATGCCTCCAGAACTGTAATACTCTTTGTATCTTTTCCTTTGATCTGAGGGCTCTGAACTATCAAGACTCAACAGTTACTTAATGTTGAGCTCAGTTCCCAGTAAGTGTCCCTGTCTTGCCCCTCTTCATCCACCAGAGTGAGTGGAGTCTGAAAATGTTTTCACACTGTGGTATCCAGTACTTAAACTGTTAACCCACTGAGAGGAAACCTGCGGTCTTGTTTTCCCAATTGATTCCTGAGTTGGTTGTCTGTACTTTGAAAGGTTCTTTCTTTCACTGTGTGTGTTGTTTGGCTTGTATGTAGTGGCAGCAAAGTTACAAAGGTCCTTGTAAGCAGAGCTTTTAACTGAGCAGGTTTAATGTAGTCTGTACCTCACAGTTGATGGCACTCACAGATGTGGAGACCCACAGGACAAGACGACAGCACCTGCTGTCCCAGAACAACAGGAAATAAAGGGGCTCGACTCTGGATCACTTCATACTTTTTACTAGAAATACGGCTTGTTCATTAAGCGCATATAAAACTAAATTATAGCTAGATAGTTGACATTCTCTTCATGCTTACTAATAGTTTTGGATTGGAATTAGTTTGGACAATCTAATCTTCAAATGCTCTCATAATTATTACTTTATGAAAACTAATATGCTTTTGGTGTATAAAATGGGCAGATTTATCAGGATTCTGTGGTAGTTCCTGGAGGCAAAAAAAGAACTTGTGCTTTGTGTCTCTTGCTCTCATGGAGCTGTTGTTTTCTTTTTTTTTTCTTTTTTTTTTTTTTTTATATTGTCTTCTTTTTTTTTTAGATTATTTATTTATTATATGTGAGTACACTGTAGCTGTCTCCAGACACCCATATGAGGGCATCAGATCTCATTGCAGATGGTTGTGAGCCACCATGTGGTTGCTGGGATTTGAACTCGTGACCTCTAGAAGAGCAGTCAGTGCTCTTAACCGCTGAGCCATCTCTCCAGCCCCTGTTGTTTTCTTTTTATACAGTTTTTTTTTATTTTTTTTTTATTTCAGTATGTGTGTGGAGGACAAATATACTCAGAAATGCCACCTACTTCCTTTAAGGCCGAGCCTCTCATTGGCCTGGACCTCACCAGTTGGACTAAACTGGCTGACCCTTAGCTAAAGGGTCCTGTTTCCATGTGCATGTTGGGGATTGAACTCATGTCCTCCTGCTTACAAGACCAGCACTTTCCTAACTGAGCCATCTCTTTAGCCTGATTTCTTTGTGTTTTAATATGCATTTTTAGTTTTCTCCAATGTTTATAGGAATTCAGATTCTACAGTGGTATGCCATTCTCACTTTATCTTTCCCTCCTTTAGGAGGGGAAACATATGTATAAAACATAAAT